CAGACCTTTCACCTCAGATAGAAAACTTAATAGACCCTGTGGAACTCAATTCTGGCGTCGAGTTCAAGCCTTTTTGTATCGCAACTGGGATGCCACTCCCTAAATCTGAAGAATTTAAACTTTTGAAGCAAGATGGAACGGTCTTAAGGGTAGGCTCCTGAATAACTGCTTCCTGTTATTTCTGACGTTTATACTGACTTTATCTGTAGTTAATGCACACTTTGCTTTTCAAGCAGAATGTGAAATTTCAATATTCTGAGGTACCTCATGGAGCATATATGAAACTACGGAATCGACCACTGTAGACCCTTTCTATTGATATCAGTAAACTGTGACGGAGCATCATGGGAATATTCCCAAATGCCACATTTTTCAGGCCCTGTATGTCTTTTGTCATTCCAGCCCTCCCTGTTTGTTACCAGTAATCGCTCTGAGGCCATGTTTACAATTAATCGAATCCAGCCCCGTGACACAGGAACCTGGGTCTGCAGCGTGCAGACGGTCGCGGGAATGGCAGAGAAACCCTTTCAAGTTACGGTCAAAGGTAAAAGCGTGAATCTCTTCAAAAAGTCTTTGCTTCTCTGCTTTCAACTCTGCAGCTGAACTCTAACACGGCAGAGCTTTCTGTTCTCTGCGCTGCAGAACGAAGTCTGAATAAATATCTACAGGCAGAATATGAATGGAAACCCTTTATAAGCTACAATTACGTGTATTGAAAAAATGTGTGTTGGCAAGGAGCAGAAGAAACCCAAGTTTCTTTTCTTTTTTTAAATACCTAAACCATCAGCTTTAGGGTGTAAACGCCTGTCCATTTAGTAAGAGTCCTGAAGAATGTCTCCCATTTTCCTGTATATTTAGTAAGATACCAGAGTTTTACTGACGTAGGGAATTAAAAGGCTGGTTTAATCTTGCGTTCTTGCTCAGTTCCTCCTGTGCCACAGTATGCCCCAAGGCTGACAGACAGCGGACATAATTTTCTCATAATTGATATCAATGCTGAGTTACATCTTGGAGATGGACCTGTTGTGTCAACAAAACTCCTGTACAAGCCAGCAAAACGTTATCAGTCCTGGATGTCTGTGGAAGGTAAGAGGACACTCTTATTCTCTTAAACACAAATTTCAGATCCAGGCTGAAACATAATGGGGTGTCTGCACTCGGCTAGACTCAAAAGACTCTACAACACATAAAAGTCAAATCTTGTTGCTATTGGACATGGGACTCTCTGCGTATCACCATCTATAATGTTAATGTGGATGTGGTATATCAACAGTAGTGAAAAGTGTATATTCCGTCTTCAGGAACGAAAGGGTTCCCTCCTCCCTGCAGATAAAGAGCACCCAATGTCAGGCCCGGCTGTTGAAAACTACCATGTAAACATCAGGTTTTCAAAAGCAGCGAGTAGTATGTAGACAACCTGGGGCATCTACAACCACCCTTCATGTCTGTTGTGCTTTCTGCTGAGACAAATGTCTTACCTAAATATTTTATCAGGAATCGTTGGGGCAAAATGAAGCCTGCTTGTGAGACAGATGACCCCTTTTTGCCCTGTTCCAACATTTCGTGCCTAAAATGTTATAGGAAACATTACAGGAATGTTAACGAGTGACAAACAACTGTTGTTACTAATTCAAGATAACCCAGGGTCTGCATACACAACCCACACTGCCTAAAAACCCAGTCTTGTTCTGTCCTGAAGGAAGGGCAGATGGAAACATCCTTTGGGCTGGGCTGGAGCTCCCCTTAAAAACAAGTATTTCGTAGTTCTAAATAGTTTATCTTAATGAGTCAGGAACGAAAGAAGATCCTGAGTATCTTACCTTCCACAGTTAGTGGTTCAGGTGTGTTTTCCAAATGTTTTCTCCCTCAGCATCTTTCAGCATGGGCTATGGCTTTACATTCTCCTTTCGTTGTCAGTGAAAGGCACAACCAAAAGGCTGGACAACCTGGAACCAAAAACAGAGTATCAGTTCTGTGTTCAGCTGAGTCGGCAAGGGGAAGGTGGGGAAGGCCACCCTGGACCACAGGCTAGCTTCACCACAGCTGCGCTCGGTAAGTCACCGGCTTGGCTTTGCACAAAAGGGCCCTTTCAGCTATTTTACTCTGGGGTCTGTTCCCTGATCACTGCCAGAGAACTTTGATTTGAGCAAAGAAGGCTGGGCTTGGAAACTGTGTAGAATCTTCCAAAATAATCTCAGGTAAAGAAAAAGAAAGAACAAAAAAAAACAGTCAGCGGTGAAAACAAAACAGAAAAAGGCAGAGTTATTATTCTTCCTGATTTAGAAATGGGGCATATGGGAAAGAAAAATTTACATATTTTGTCTGGCTGTGCAGCAGAATTGGAAATAGAAATAACTTCTTTTGCATGCCTGTCTCGTAGTATTAGGTCAGTTTACTTTAAAAATGAAGATGTCTAAGCAAGCACAAAGCTTTTAGTCCACTGAAGATACAGCCTAAACTGAACACAGACATACAAAATAAATGAGGGCTGCAGCAGGAACTGCCTAATGAGAGAACAAAAGGCCTGGCTTCCCAAGTCTAAAAAGGGCATCTGCAACTCCAGCTTAGTGAAGAGACATTTTTGTTGACACAACAGCTGTTGATAAGATACCCTGGGAGTATCAACACCTCTTAGATGTAATTTCTGCCAGATGCGGTGGGGTGGCAGGGAGAATTGCCCTTTCTCACCCCAAGCTAGGGCAAGTGGTTGGGAATAACGGTACCCCTGTTCAAGCTTGCATACCAGATATGAAATGTTGTTCCCTGTCTCACTGTGGCTTTTCCAAGGTCTTCCTCCACCAGAAGGTCTCACTCTCTTTCCAAAAAGCATGACATCCCTGAATTTGTCATGGCATCCTTTAACACTGAGGACAGAGGATGACATTCGTGTTGAATAGCGTGAATGACAACGGTGCCGAGAGCAGTGTTATTACTCAAGTGCCAGGAAATATGTCCACCCTGATCATTAAAGACCTTGAGCCTAGACAGCAGTACATGTGCAGGGTACGGGTGAACACCAGGTCCCAGGGAGAATGGAGCAACTACCTGTATGCATGGACTTTCAGTGACCGTAAGTAGCTGATTCACATCCTTCTATTTAATTCTGCCTCTTCCCCCCAGTGATCAGACTGACTGTCACTTAATGACTACATCAAATGTAATCCTTTGTCCTGGTGATCACTTGTGGTTGTTACTATTGTTACCAAGAAGATAGCTCAGTGTCCAAAGAAGTTCTTATGCTGGAAATTATCAGGAACTAATAATGAGTTTTTTAAAAAAGGGAAAAACAAATCAAAAGCTTGGGAATCCACATCTTCATTTCAGTGCAATTCATTCTTCTGACACATGTAGTGTTTTTTTTCCTCCTCATAACAACGAGCCCAGTGTGTTCCCTACTCTGAGCTCTTCCATTACTCAGAATAACCCACTCAGACCCTGCAGTTCAGCTATGTCAGTACAGAAATAGTCAGTAGTTAATGAAGGAAGAGAAGATACAATGTGAGGTAAACCCCTGTGAGCAAAGAGTGGTCAAGTGTGCTACACTGAACTCAAAAGACCGCTCTGGAACACCTCGAGTGTGAGTGGTGGCCTCTCACAATGTCACACCAAATGCCCTGTGGGAATGAGGTGCCATCTGGGCAGATGTCCAACTGAATGGCCTGTGGGTGCCACTGCCCATACCACACACTGGGAAGGTGGGCTTCTTCCTCCTCACGGGTCATGTGAGGAAGTCCTCACTGAGGTATTAGCAGAAGTACCAATGGGGTGTCATGGTACACTCCAGTTTTCTGGGCTCTGATGCCAAACTGCACTTGGAAAAACACAGAGGGACTATTTTCCAGGAGAAAGTGCTTAGCTTAGTAATGGTTGGTGTGTCCACAAGTGTAGCACTCACACCCAGTGGTGGTTTTCTGATTAAATCTGTGGAAACGTTGCTATCGATTTCTCTTCTTTCTAACAACCTGTATCCTGAAAGGGAATGGCTCCCTGAAGGAGCGAAAGTATGGGACCTGGGAATCACATGGGGATGATGATTCAGTGGAGAAGGAAATGAACACTTTCTGCATTAATTTGAAAGCAGTCGTGTTGTCCTTGCATACAGCTTAGAGAATTTGTGTCTTCATCCAAGGACAGGCGTATACTGAATGCCACTCCAACCTCTGCTGGGAGTATGGAGTACTGCAACACGGGTGACAGCACATCAAGTCCATAAAACTATTGCATTCAGTCATCACAGCTCATCAACAAAATCCTGCTTTTGTTTAGCACAGCAAAAGCACTGAGGAAAGGGTTTGGCCTGCTGTGGGAAGGAGGAAGAGGTGGACGTACGCTCCAAGGCTTTGTATGTGTTTGTGTCTGTTCTCAGGAATCCCTCCTGCACCATACAACATCAGGTTTTCTAACACTACTGACACATCCTCCGTCATCTCTTGGGCAACTGCTGAGGGTCATTCCATCTCCTCCATCATCATCAGCTACAAAATTTACGGCAAGGCAGAGTACAACCACATCGACATTATCATAAAGAACGCCAGCATTACCCAGTACCACCTCAAAGGCCTTGAGCCAAACACCGTGTACCAGGTTCAGATTAATGCTCAGAACAACATCGGCTTGAGCAACCCAAACACTTCGTTTGAACTGAAGACTCTTCCAGAAACTAAAGGTTGGTTATTCCAGCGTGCTGGACTTGCACAAACCAGGGCTGGTGGTATAAACCCGTTAGCTAAGGCAAAGACGTAATAATACCTTTTTAATAATAGTTTTGTCTTGCTCTTAATTTTGACACACAACACAGCGACACCAAAATTTGATTCTCAGTTCACCGCACGGACTTGGTGAAGTCACAACATAGAACATGTGTGTGTATCCACTAGAAAGCACCCAAAAGCTCCTAAATTAAAGGAGCTGCACGTAATAGGACTATTAGATCACTGAATGTGACCTCTGCTCTTCCCAAATCCAGCAGGACCTGCAGGTGTTCATACATCTGAGAATCAGAGCATCCGATGTCTGTGACATTTTTGGAAAACAGATGTATCTCTAGGTCTTTATACCCGTTAAAAACCAGGAGTATTTAACTATACATTGTTCGTGGCCTTTTCAGAATTAGCTGTAAATAATGATGACCACTTCACGTGCTTTCTCAACAGTTCCGTATGAATCAAAAGGAGGCAAAATGCTGCTGATTGCAATCCTTGGCTCTGCGGGGATGACCTGTGTGACGATTCTCCTGGCCTTTCTCATCATGCTGCAGCTAAAGCGAGCCAACTTCCAGCGCCGCATGGCTCAGGCCTTCCAAAACGTGGTGGTGGGTTTCCAGCTTTCCTGTGTCAGTGTGGTTATTAATTTTGGTCACATATATTATTGGGTTTTGGTGTGGGGTTTTTTTTGTTTTGTTTTGGTTTGTTTGTTTGTTTTCCTTTTCCCCCACAGTTCCTTTTCCTTGGCTTTCCCAAATCCCGTCTTCTCTTCATGTGTGCAATTAGTTCTGTTGCTGTAAAGTTTCTCTGCCAGTGACTCCGGAGCAAAAGCATTCGCAGTTATAGGCTATGGGGTAGACAACCTGACCTGTAAAAGAAGATGCACGCCCTCGGTCCCTCTCCCTTTTCTGCCTGAGCGCAGCTGTGTACGACAAGTACCGCGTCAGACAGAAAGGCTGTGCCTGATTTTGAAAACAACAAACATTTTTACGTTGCTTTTTGAGCATCAGCGGCTGCTCCATCGTGGCTTTTCAACCTGGGGAGAGCACAGCAGGGATCAGTCAACGGCAACATCCTAGTTCTGGCTGTGAGGAAACTGCCGAAGGTTGTAACACCACGTAGAGGTGTCTCTCTGTGTATACTGGCATCCTGCTCAGTCATCGCTCCGCTTTCCGGTGTTCCCTCACTTCAGAGGGGAACCTGTGAAGCAGAATGAAGCTGGGCCAAAGAGCTCCTCCATATGGATCCGCAGAGGTCGTTTCCGAAACGGGGGGCTAGGGGGTTCATCAAAAAGATGATCAGTCCCCAGGCCACACAGAATAGCTCCGGATCCTTTTATCCTGAAATTTTCCCCTGGAAGTGTTTCATGGGAATGTGTAACAGTTGCAGCGATGTCTCCTCAACTGTGGGGGAAGATCATGTCCCCCCTGGTTTCCTTGCTGCTTCTTTCCTTAGTCTTCCGACTGAATCAGCACAGGATGCAGTCAAGACTAATACGAGATAAATCTCAAACCTGGGACTAAAAACTGGCTTTGAGATCAGTTGTACCAAATTATTTTTGCCCATCCTGCTTCATCTTCCAGATGATTATAAAACTATTCAGCATGCTTAGGTCTACTTATGCATGAACTAGGAGCCTGATTAAGTTCGTGGATCCGGGCAGAAGTGCGTGATGCAGTTAGTGTCTCTAGTAGGTGTGTCTGCTGTACTGACTCTTGTGTAAGCAAGGGATGGATCAGGGTCTGTGTGCGTGGACAGGAGTGAGCACACGTGTTTGGGGAGCGTAATCGGAGCATTGCTCAGTAAAGCAGAAATCACAGTTAATGTCCTTTGCTTAACTCTGTTACAGAGGGAAGAGCCAGCCGTACAGTTTAACTCAGGTACTCTCACCCTGAGCAAGAAAGCCAAAAACAGCCCAGATCCCACTATTTATCCAGTTCTTGAGTGGAATGACATAAAATTTCAAGACGTGATCGGGGAAGGTAACTTTGGGCAAGTCCTGAAAGCACGCATTAAGAAAGATGGCTTACGCATGGATGCTGCGATTAAAAGGATGAAAGGTAGTACAGACCGGGGACTCTGAGACTAAAGACTTGTCGTGGTTGGTTGTCCCAAGTGTTTCTCTGCCATAGGAAATGCTTAGTAGCCCTCTCCTAAAGCTAAAATAAATATTCAAAGTTGCTAGTGAAATTGTATCTGCTGTCACTAGGCCAAGATTTGTGCCCTGGCAAAGACTCTATTTCTGCATGGTCTGATCAGTGTAGCTTTCTAATTGCTGATATCATTAACTACGATGTATTTTTCAATTCTTAGGTCAGTGTGAACTTTGTGTGTGAGTTCACCTGCAAAGTGGGGCCACTAAAAGGTGCCTTTAATAGAGAGAGGAGCAGATCATTGGCTCATCACAAGAGCCTGTAGTGATAGGACAAGGGATAATGGGTACAAATTGAAATCAGGGAGGTTTAGATTAGATGTCAGGAAGAAATTCTTCACAGAGAGGGTGGTGAGGCACTGGAACAGGTTGCCCAGAGATGTTGTGGATGCCCCATCCCTGGATGTCTTCAAGGCCAGGCTGGATGTGGCTCTGAGCAACCTGGTCTAGTGGAAGGTGTCCCTGCCCATGGCAGGGGGGTTGGAACTAGATGATCTTTGAGGTCTCTTCCAACCCAAACCGTTCTGTGATTCTATGATATTGTTTTACCTTAGCCATTCAGAGACAACTGCACTACGGTTATAGTTGTGTATCTATATGTAGACATACTATGGGGATCACTAATTTTCTTTGTACTCATTGGGCATGACTCCACGTTCCAGAGAGAACTACAATACGTAGAATACTGCAAGAATGTACATATTTTCTTGAAACTCACTAGATCGTTATCTAGGCAAATTGGGGACACTCTTAGGTGTGATAAAAATTTAATTAAGAGCCAAGGTCTGCATGCAGGTAGCAATAATCAACAGCACACACATGTAAAGATTGTTAGGCAGCTAGTTTTCATATGCCTGCTACAACATTTTACATTCTCACTGAAGGAAGGGAAGTGGTGTATTCAGATGCTTTCTTTCTCTGCAGATGGCTGCTACAGAGTTAAGTTCTCTCTTTTTCTCCTTTGACTGTAAAGTCCTACATTTTTCAGTATATATTAACATAGAATTTGTGTCTTTTTACTGTGGCTGAAGCAGTAGCACCCAAGCAGGCCAGAGCTCTCATAATTGACAGCCATTTAGTCATAAAATCAGTTCAAATGAAAACATAAACATATTTGATTTTCAGAGTACGCCTCAAAAGACGATCACAGAGACTTTGCTGGAGAACTTGAAGTTCTTTGTAAACTTGGTCATCACCCCAACATCATAAATCTTCTGGGAGCCTGTGAACATCGGGGTAAGATACTCCTGAATACGTGTACTTTAACAATTAATTAAACAAAACCCCCAAGTATAGCCCACACATTCCACAGAACCAGCTCCTAAGCAAGTCTTTCTGCAACATTTGTTAAAAAAAACAAATAAACTTGTTTTAAAATCAACAAGCCCACATTAATACTTCAGAAATTACGCTCACCGGTAGCTCTAAATTCTCCTCTGTAACTAGGAATTATGCTGTCTGGTACTTCCCCTCCAGCCTGTTTTACCTGTATTTCTTTTTTACTCAAGCTGTGTAAGTGTCCAAATACTACTACTGACCATCCTTTACTTTGCACTACACTCACCATCTGATGTTTCCTTAGGATATCTTTATCTTGCTATTGAATATGCTCCCCATGGAAATTTACTGGACTTCCTTCGGAAAAGCAGAGTGCTAGAGACTGACCCGGCCTTTGCTATTGCCAACAGTACTGCATCTACACTGTCCTCTCAGCAACTTCTGCATTTTGCAGCAGACGTTGCTAGAGGGATGGACTACTTGAGCCAGAAACAGGTCAGTCTGCAACTCTCCGCCCACTGAAATCACAGCAATTAATTCTTCAGTGACTACGCCTTTTACTGAAATCACAATTTTCATTTCAGCTTCTGTAGCACCCACTGTACGAGTTGGGTTTAGTTGTGTTCGCTTAGCCTTATCCAATACTCATGGGGACTCAAGGAAGAGGCATTAAAATTTACAAAACACCACAGTAACTAACAGCTTTTATCTTTCGATAAAAGTTAAAATGCTCGTGGTAGTGACATACCAAGCCGTTTGTTTTGGGTTTTGATCTTATTCTGAATGCTTGCCATTTTCAGCGTAGCACTAAAATAATACATGTACAGCTCATAGATGCTGTGGTGAATTCCTTTTTTATTTTTAAACTTCAGTTTATTCATCGAGATTTGGCAGCCAGAAACATCTTGGTTGGAGAAAACTACGTTGCAAAAATAGCTGACTTTGGCTTATCAAGAGGTCAAGAAGTTTATGTTAAGAAGACCATGGTAAGGATCAAAACAGATACCATCTGTTCTCATTTTTTGTTTTCTTGCTTCTTTCATTGTGTTTTCAGCTGAGCAAAAATTCATACTCAAGGTACTTTGGAACTCATTATTAACATGTTACATATTAAGGTCTAAATATTTATTTATATTGTGTTTATTAATATACATACATTACCTGCAAATCAACGCTATAACATGTTTATAATATAAAATGTAATTGAAAATTTGTATGAATACAGACAGCAGTAAAACAACCATTTTTGCAGCCAGTTATGAAACGTAGTAAAAATGCATTATAAACCCCCCCCACACCATACATTTGATATACGAACAGGACATGTGCACGCGAGTGGATCTGTACGGCTACGAAAGTAATATTTTTCGTACCAGAATTTGTCCAGATGAAGCAAGCTGGTCTAATTCTATTGAATCAGACCAAAGTTAGGAAGATGGTAACCCGGGGCACGTCAGGACCTGTGAGCTGAAAACAGCTGTCCAGCAGTAACGCTGCGGAAGATCTGCAAGAAGGAGATGTGTCATAAGTGTCACGCAGTCACAGACCTGGAATAACGCTGGGTTGTCAAGGGAACAGGGCTGGTTACACGTAGGACATCGCTCAGGAATTATTTCCATTTCCTCTCGATGCTGGTTGGACAAGTTTTCTATTAGCTTTAGTGTGAACTGTCCCTTTGGGGAGCAAATACACAACTTCAAGTTTATTTATTTGGTAAAGCTTACTTGCATAATGTCCGTTTTCATTAGGTTAACACCAAAACAATCCTTGGGGTATAAATTGCAGTACTGTTGTTCCAACCACTGACAAATAAACTTTGCTGAAATAATCCCCAGGGACGGCTTCCAGTGCGATGGATGGCCATTGAATCTCTGAATTACAGCGTTTACACCACAAACAGTGACGTGTAAGTATGTTTCAAAGCTCCTTTTTTTAATAAAGAAATAATTTTCACTATCAGGGACACTTTGAGAGCCAGAATGAGACTTCCACACTTACCTCAAAAACCTCAGTAGCTGTGTCAGCGTGAGTGAGCAACAGCAGCAAAAACAAAAGCCGGAACAAAAAAAGTTCCCTTTATTTCATCATCAGCGTTCAAACAAGTTCTGTGTTCGCAAACTAATTGGATTTGGGCCAATACATTAGCTGTATTTCTCATTTGAAATTAGAAACCTGATGAATCCTTGGGACACCCAGAATAAAATTCGTATTTTAGTCAGGAAAGAGGAAGTGAAGCTCGGCCAAGCAATTCTGTAACAGCACTGTGTATGGAGACCTCACAGTTTAGTAAAGGACTCTGCTTGAGGGACTCACGGTGAATTAATTTTGCTGAAGATCTCACTCCTGCTTTCTGATCCTACGAACTCTATCACTATACAAGAATTGCTAAAAAAGGCGTAGAACAATGAATCTCACTGTGTTCTCTGAATACCAGCAGAACTATCTACCATTTTAAAATACGAAATCTTGTTGCACTCCATAATATCCCTCTGTTGCAGGTGGTCATACGGTGTCCTGTTATGGGAAATTGTTAGTTTAGGTGAGTATCTGAATTTTGCACTGCACGAGTAATGCAATCTGAGCCAAGCCAGCTCTGTTCACTCAGTCTGTTAAAGACTTGGTCCTTCACAACATACTTCAATATTTTTTCTGTTTCATTCCATGAAATTTTACTCGGTTTCAGTACACTTGGACATGCAAATATCACTTTTTCCAGGCAGGTACCATTCTAAGTGAGAAAAGCATAATGACCATATTTTTATTGTAATATAAACCCTAGGTCATACCTAAATATAAAATCCAGCGTATCACATGATACACAGCCCTTACCCAGTATGTTTTGAGTTTGATGGGTGTCTTTTCCTCGTCCTTCCTGAGATTTAAATCAAGACGTCTATTTCCGTGACTTGGGGAGGGAGGGGGCAAGCATCTACTCCAACTATTCTCAAAGAAAATTTTTGAACATTAATCTTTATGTAAAATTTAGAGTTCATTTCTGCACACACCCTGTTCATGATGCTTTCTGATCTGATCCCCGCTTTCCTTACTAAATGGGCTTGCGCTAGGTATGGATGGGAACTTACGCACTGCAGTGCGGAAAATCAGGAGTCTAAGCAGCCCAACGTCTGCAAAAAGGGGGCAAAACGGATGTGGCAGTAATAGCTCCGTGAGTCCATACTGCATCTTATTAACACCACACTAACAAAGTAACCCCTTGCCTCCTGCCATCGAGGGTATTGCAAAACCAGTTCAAATACAATCAGGTGCAGGCCCTCAGCTTTGTAGAGAAGTTTAGACCAGCCCCACAGATGATAAAATTTACACTCACTTTTATTTTCTTCCATACTGTGCATCAAGCATAACATTAACAACAAAAATGTAGCTGCAAAATATTCCCTGATGTTGGACTAATTTAGCTATTACCGAGTTAGTCATTCTTGTTCATTTCTGCTGTGAAATTAGATTTTGTTTTACTAAGTACACAGCGTGTTCATGACAATGGTCAAACTCTGCTTCAGGTGGAACACCGTATTGTGGTATGACCTGTGCAGAACTCTACGAAAAACTGCCTCAAGGGTACAGACTGGAAAAGCCTCTCAACTGTGACGATGAAGTGTAAGTAACTGCCTCAGCAAACAAACCAAACCAGAATAACACAACATCTGCTACAGGAAGCCCAGGATGTCTACAAGAAACTAGTAAAACAAACATTTCTTTCAGGAAAACGTAAAAACTATATTAAAAAAAATAAAGGGTGTCCAAGTGGAAAAAATTACTTTTGTACCCAGAACGCACTGTTGTCTGCCATGAACCCCCTCCCAAGCTCTCTGCTCCTGCCAGATACCCTGTTCTTTACGCAACATGGCTGGGCTTTAGCTCAAAGAGAGCTTTTTGGTTACTCCAGAGAAAAAGAAAGTTATTTTCAGACAGCAACCAGCTGTGGAAAATCTAACTCCAGCTGCGTATAAATCCATTTTCCTTTGAAAAATAGAATATGCCCAATCTTCCAACAGACGTGAATTTGTCCCTTCAACCTATGTTATCTAAACTGTCCAATGCTGGTGTTTGATTTCTGAAGGTATGACCTAATGAGGCAGTGCTGGAGAGAGAAACCGTATGAAAGACCATCGTTTGCTCAGATACTGGTGTCACTGAACAGGATGTTAGAAGAAAGGAAGGTAAGAATGAACCCCTAGAAAAGAAGTAGGCCATGAATAATTCCAGTACCATTTAGGACTCCTGAGGTAATACACCTGGCATCACATTCTTTCTGTTATTTCCTTCCCAGACCTACGTGAACACTACCCTATACGAGAAGTTTACTTATGCAGGCATTGACTGCTCCGCTGAAGAAGCTGCTTAAGACAGGAGAAATCTTCATTCATCAACGATGTACTGAAGAAAACCAAAACTCAACCCGCTGGAGCCCAAAATGTGATGTGCTGTGCAGAACTGTGTATAGATCCACCTGTATATACTGTTTGACTACAGATATGTGTATCACGCAGTAACCTTTGCCTCCACAGGCTGTAGGAGTGTATATACTGCTCAGAGTAGGGACAGACCGACGCCATGAAATCTGCTGTTTCACAGGCAGGGTTTTCTTTTTCCAAGTCATGTAGATACGCTACGCACACGCAATTACTGTAATGCATTCGGTATTGCCATCTTAGGTCTTCTTGACACTTTCCAAGAGCTACTGATAGCAAAGTGGGGATATTACAGCAGTATTTCATGGACGTTGCATTCTGATTCAAACAAAAATGCTAAGCTCAGTACGACAATGACAGTTGCAAGTAGATGTCCGTCTAGTACACTCAGCAAGAATAATGAATTATTAAGTAATACTATTTGAACGTCAAATTGAGCTAGTAGAAATAATCTCTTCAAGAACTCTATTGACACTTGTAAAATATAATGCATGCTATTGCTCTTTCATTGTTCGGTTTAAGAGTTAGTGTTCACCTATATACAAAATACGCATATATTTTGAAGTGTTTAACGCTACTGGAGGCAGCCATACAGCAACTATCATGAAGAGTAGGACTGAGGAACATACGACACTTTGTAAAACATATTTTTACAATTAGGCTGGATATACATATGGCTTATTCAATTTGTATTTTGTTTAATGATTTCACTGCATAACTATAAATTACTACCTGTTACGTACAAGCAGGGCTTACTTTTGCTTACTTTATCCCTTTTAGAGTCGGTAGTGTGGTATGGCCTCTTAAAAACACTGTTCTGAAATGCTTCAAAATGATAATATTTGGCCTGCCAGGGAGGTCTTTTAGACCTTAGGTTAGACAAAGAGGCAGGACTAGCCTGAGCTTCCAGTATCAAGTCAAACACGTGGGACCCTGTGGACTTACACTCTTCTAACTTCACCTATCAGCTAACCAGTTTCAAAATGTAAAGATAAATTCCACTACATTTGCTATAAAAAAAACCCTACTTGGCAGGGCACATTTGCAGCCTGGGTACTGCATTTTGCAGCTCAGCCAGGTTTCTACAGGCCAGTAAGGCGAACAGGGATGGACTTCCATGGGTGTGTTCTAGGCTGCTGGGCTTACAACTGCTAGAACTGCCCCACTTTCTGTGCCGAACTTTTCATGGGTCCAAAACAGCCCGTTGCCTCACACATGTCTAAAAAGCACACAGCTGACTATTCTGCTACCTGATGTGAACCTCTTCTGTGGCAGACTTTAACTTGGACCAATATGCCACATAAAGAAAGAATCAGAGTCCTTCATTAACACACTTGGAATTAACACTCTGCATTTTTAGTGCTCAAGTCTCACGGTAAATGTAGCTGAAGGTCATTTAAGTGTCCTTATAAATAATTCTTATATCTTCATTTAACATTGTGGCATGCATTAACTTTCTAATCTACTGTAGTGAAGTTTGTTTTTTTTTTTTTTTTATTTGACTTTTTGAAAAAATACATAAAAGAAAACAATAACCTGGATACACAGCTTGGGATGTCTCTGTTCAGCCTAAACACCACAGAACTACAGCAATTAAAACACATCCATTAGTATAGCTGCTTCTATACTCGCAATGTGCACTGGGTATCCCAGGTTCAATAGCCAAATTTAGTCCGTATCCAGTGCTGGAAAGCCCAAGTTTTGGCACTAGGTGGCGAATAAACATTTCCAACTTAACCATTAGCAGGTTGTACGTTCTGCCTTCCACAGCACAACACATCAGATCCCACGTCCCCTCCTTTCCAAGTGTCTTCTATTTGCTTCGTCGCTGTCAAGCGTGTAATGCTACCAGTGCCAACCCTTTTTCATTATTCCAAATATTACATGTCCTAACATTCGTTATACACCTCCACCCATTTACACCTGCCAACCTCTATGCACCAGCTCAGAGTAACACCAGCTATTCCCCAGGCTGGTTTTCGATATCACGGCATTGGTTTTCCCATATTCTCACGCAGTTACCAAGCTCATACTCACTACAAAATGGCTGGAGAGCAGCTCCGAGG